ATCATTGATTTATCGATAGTTCATCAACTATATATGGCGCGTTTTCGACCGGAGGCACCGGTTGACCTGAAGTGATCCTGTGACCGCGCGCTCTCCGCCCTTTATTTCGAAAACGGTTCACCGTATGAAAAATTTTTTTGAACAAAATTTGTAGAGAATTTTGTATTCTACAATATTGATGATGAATACAAATGGCAGAAAACCAATAGGAAATGAGATATTTACAAAAAAAGCGCAAGAAACCGATTTTTGTGACCTTTGACCTTGAAATTTAATAGTTGCGTACACCCTACCATATGTAGGTTTTGAGACAACTTTAAGGGTGTCAATATACAAGTATTCACAGACTTACAGCTGGGTATCTCGAATTCCGAGGTGAACTTACTATAATAACTGGACTAGCAGATCTTCGGCAAAAATCCACTTTATATTTTCATTTTTAAGGACCATTCAGTGTAAGTATCGAAATATCGCAAAAATGTTACGAAATATGTGAATGTACTTGAGGTCTGCCAATAATCAATTCATCCATTTTGTCGGTGAATACCCACTTTTTCATTGTCAATGAGTATTGAATTTCTTTCATACTTCTTTGTTGGGTTAAATATATTTTATGCGAAAAAAAAAGACACATTCATTACTTATATATAATTTTCAATAACATTTCAGAAGTACTCTAAAATTCATCGGAGTCTTCCAAAGACCTTAATATTGTATTCCAAACCATGGTTTTTCGTAGAATGAAATTCTAAAGTGACGTATGAATGATTGACACCTCCTTCTTTTATAAACACAGTGGATCCATTCGATTCTGGGTTTTGACTCAATGCCAATATACAGTAAATAATTTGATCACCATACCAAGTGCTCTGAAAAATTATTTTCATGTTACAAACAGGTGAATACAATACAAGTTTTTTATTTTATTTATCCATTTGGAGAGTAATTTGGGATATTACGACATGAAATATCGATTCTGAAACATTCTTGTATATCCTTTTTTATAATAGGTATGATATATTTTTTGAAACATCATTTTCACTAGCATTTCTCGCAAAAGCTACATGAAGATGAAGGATAAATGAAACCAAATTATGCAAAGATGAAAAAAAACATACCTCGACAAAAGTCATGAAATATAGGTACTTATGAAAAGATATGACAATGTTGGAAGAAAACGGGAAGGTGAACATTTTTTCATTGTAATAACAAAATGCAAAGAAAACAGATGTTACTTCATGAATTTTGTCTGTTCTAATATATTGTGGTGAGCATGATTCTCAAAAAACAACAGAGAAAAATGTTTCGGTGTCAAAACTTTTTTTCAGCCTTGTTACTGCTGGTTTTCAGCTGTGTACGGCAGGTTTTATGCCTGACGTTTCGCCTACTACTGCGGTATACACTCTCAAAGATAATGAAGTAACGGGTGCAGTGATCGGTTTGTTTTCAGAGCGGATACTATTGGTTGGAATAACTGGGCTTATTTCTATGTACTGAAGAAAGGTAGCGAGATTTTATTCATAGTGATTTCTTTTTCTTTTTTATTGAACTATTTTTGTATTCTCATTTCAGTGATTCCAATGTAGACGGACCGCAGAGGTACAAGAGATCCTGTATACACCAGGTGTTGCTTAAGGCTCTCTGGGGTCTACTGTTGACCTCATACTCTTTTTGATAGTTATCCAGAACCTTCTCAATATGGTCTGTAACATCTTTGAAATAGAGTAACGTTTTCTCTACTGGGTCGTATCGGGTGCTCATATCAATATTATTAATAATAATGATTTATCATTTACCGTAACTTAAAATATTCTTCAGATCACATAACGAGGTGAATGAATGGATTATGCTAGGTCTTAAAACCAAGTCTTCCATATAAACCACAACAAAAGTAAATAAACATTCTAGTTATAGTTACACCAGGATATAAATAGATCTCGAATATAATAAGGGGAATATTCTAAAAGAAAATTATTTCATTGCTTCTCAAACAAATGTTTTTTGGCATTTTTTTTTTAAATATTCAGGATTTTTGAATTATAGTATTTTATAGTAAAAAGTGAGAGCGTGTAATTTGTGTCTGTTATACATACTCAACCATCCTTCGTCCTTCAGCTTATAAGAAATTCTTTCTCTCCTCCTAATGTGATACATCGTTCGAAGACAATTTTGAACTTTTTGGATTCGACGTATGTCTCTTCAATCTATACATGAACCATACGCAATGTCACAGTGAATGAAATGGGACAATATCATAATACCGCTCAACATTTTCATCACTTTCAAACGATGCGTAGGTCTCTCGATGTTTTTTTGGTACTTTTGCTTTAAAACGTAATTTAGAATCTATAATGAAACAAAATTTTTGCAGCTGTATATATCGCCAGTTGTTCGAATTTTTCCATAAAGAACTTTGCCATCACCGGAGTCAACAAGTTGCCTATTGGGGCATGAAGGGGGACAATAAATATCAAAAACACCGTAGAACACAATTAAAACGAAAAGGAAACTAACATTATTAAAATCTGACTACCTGTCCTCAGCTGCACACAAATGAGGCCATTCAATCTAACAAAAATGAATAAAACAGAGTAGAATGCGTTTAAAAACAGTTTTGGGATTCTTCAGTTTGAGTTAGACAAGAAAGGAAAATGAAAGAACCGTCAAAATCACGGTTAACAGAGTATCTTGAATGATACTTATACACCCAACTGTACAACAATTTTGTAAATCCATAACAACAGGATACCAAAAAGTTTTGGCTGCTTGTTCCTTACTTCAATCCAAAAATTTGCAGTTGCAAATGAGAAAAGTGGGGTCATATGTATGAAAAATCTCAATTATTATATTATTGGAGAATTTTAATTTAATGAATCAGAATCAATATTTTTTTAATCTGTCGAGATATGTGAAAATTAATCTGTCACTGTTACTTACTGTTGTATTTCTCGTGATGAAAGGAATTCCCATCAAATCAACATTATCCTCGAACACCAAGTCACGTAATCTTGCATTTGAGCAATTTCCTTCTCTAATTTCGAATTGTTCTTTCGGATCTACAATTCCGAAAGCAAATTGACAAGCGATGGCGAAAACCACGACAAATGTTTTAATCATTTTATTGATAAGAGTTCTTACAAAGTCTTCTATCAACTTTCAATGATCAGAAACATAAAATGTATTCTATTTATACTAAATTTTGAAGAGAGAGATATGATCTGATTACTTATACTGAAGATGAGTGTGACAAATAGTTTTTCGAATTCTTAGTCCTCCAAGAAGATAATGTTATTAGCTAGTGACGTGATTCAACGTTATTGAAATTTATGGTTTAGGACGTATGTTCATATAGGTATATGTTTTCGGGAAAAGTCCTGGTCAAAAATTAATAGGAACTGGAAAATTAATGATTGTCGTTTGATGAGACGAACGTCAAAACCTCAAAATATGCAGGACATTTTCTGTGAAGATTCCTGCACTGACGCCTGTCGGATATAATCCAACGCCCTTCGTGGTATTAGCCAGGGGAGTAGTTGTTTTCTTAGGAGGCGTCAGTCCATTCAAGCTACTGTGTAGGTGTATCTGAGATTGGCTGGAACGTTCCAAGTTCATTTCTCTAGAATTCTTTACTGCCAGTCTTCAAGCATAACCCACTGACTAATGAGAAAGTTGATGAATTTTGATAAAAAAACCGTCGCATGAGCATCGCTCATGTTGTGAATGTAAAGGTTGTAGAATGACGTCAACGGCGATCCAGATTTGCTGAAAAGGGTCCTAACTGATGACGATTCATGAGTATACATTTATGACACCGAAACCAAAGTCTAGTTGTCCCAATGCCGAAATGCCCAGAAGAGCCGAAACCAAAAACACGCCAAATTCGAGCAAATGTCAAGATTTTGCTCACTATTTTTTTCAATTACTGTGGCAAAGTGCATCAGTATTGTGGAAAAACAATTCATGGCTTTTGAATCATGATGATTTTTTTGAGGACAAAACACAAGCACAAGGCGCTCTCAGAGCCGTGCCTGTGCGAAAGTAGCGACTCACATTGGATTTGAATCGCTGGAGATTGGAAAAATTGTTTCCTCTGATAGCAATGTGCAGAGGGAATCTTGTTGACTCACCCTGTATATTCCTAATTCTCAGGTTAATCTCTTGATCTGACACAATTAGAATGATATAATATTTGAATGTTTGTCCCAGATTTTCGGTGATATCTATTATTTTGCCATTAGCAGACCTCTTCATTAGAGAAGTGATACAGATCTCCACACCTGACAAAATATATTTTTCTGAAAAACGAAACCATCCATCATTTTTATCTCCAGATAATGAATCTTTTTAATAAATTGATGGATGGTAAGTGATTGACCAAATCTGACCAACGTACAATTTAAGAAAGCAGTTAGAAATTTGCTAGCTGATAGACCCTATTATAGCTTGCAAGAGTATTTTAATGAATCATTTTAAAAGTATACTCCATTTTATATTTATTTTTATTGTATTTGTAGCTGTTTTATTCAAACTTTTATTAATTGCCAGTTTTTATCTATACACCATTAGTTATGCTTATATTTATACCTACAAATCTTTGTCGATGAGAAACAAAATCTTCTGACAAAGTGTATTTT